CTAAATTTAAAAGAATAATTAATTTTTTGAAAACTCTCTTAACTATGGGGAATGTCTCATAAAAATCACCCAACTAATTTAATTTGACAGAGCCCCCTAACTATAGAGGTGATGTAGATAACCCCTCTTAACTTTGGTGCTATTTTAGAAAACACCATTCGACTTAGCGTATCTTATGAAAACTCTCCTGGTCTTTTACACATCTCTTTACAAACCTCGTTAATGTAAAAGACTTTAATATGTGATTTTGTAAAAATTCTCTGTTGAAGAAAGTCATTTTAGTTAAAAAGAAACTCTCAATCGATAATAAAAAATTTACGACCAATTTATAGTTCTTTTTTCTAAATCTTTAATTTTTCTTTCATCTAGCAAAGACCAAGCAAATTCTTTTATGATTGAGATATTTTGGTATTTCCAAGTCAAGTACTTATCACATAATAAATTCGACTCAACGATATTAGTTTTGAGATGTTAATTGAGAAAAGTTCATAGGGTAAATTAAAAATATAAATTGAGATAAATTAACTATAAAACCCCAAATTTGACGAATAAAGATTTACTCATTTCAAGTAGTTGAGGGGTGGGGGTGGGGTTAACATTTTCCCTTATGGTTCTCCATATCTTTTATGGTTTGTAATAAATTATTTAACAAAATAAAATTAAGTTGTTCATTTTATATATCTCACATTTATGAAACATATAGTTTGGATATGAGTGTTATTAGATTCTTTTAACTCGTTAGCCTAAAATTTTGGATATTATTCAATATTGGATAGATCTAAATTATTCTGTTAAAATACAATCCATATGTGTACAAAATATGTTTAAATCATTCTCAGATTATATTTTATAGTTTTATGAAATTAGACAATAATCGTTTTGACAAATTAATTAATTAGTTGAGAAGATGTAGAAAGATTACAATATCAGATTTTGGAATTGATTACATAATTATATTTTCTTTCTTGATTGAATTTGCACATTCTAACTTTGAAATTTCTAGAAATAAGTTTTTGAATATCTATAATACTCGGTCGCTAGATAATAAAAAGTGGAAGTAGACAATAGGTGCAAGTGGTTTCTTTATAATAAAACAAAATCTTCTATGATAAGATATATAATACCTACCATTTTACGTTGATGAATTCAAGATTTATTTTTCATTAATAATAATAGTTTTTAAGATATTGGTGCTTACATCATTAATATTTTAAAATTAGAATTTCAAATCATTAAATTGCTCTTTGGTCATTAATATTTTAAGACTTTAAACCTCACTAATTATGTTGAAGGTAAAATGTTAAAACCAACAAGATTTTATATCTGAAACTTTTTAATATATTACAATAATCATTAACATTTTTGCAACTATATTATAGTAAATACATAAATTAAAAATCAACAATAATAATATTTGATCACGTGCATTGCACGTGCATTCCATCTAGTTAATTTGTAAAAGAGGGAGCTTATAATAGGATTAATATCTGATCCCCGACCGGTAAACAGCAAATGCATTTAATTAACCTCCGTATATCGGGCATTATCTCTCGCTCCCAGAACATTGCAACGGCGTCTGCCACGTTGGCAGCATCTCAGCCGTTCGATCTCGGTGTCTGCATTCGAATCGGCGGCGGTGTTTACAATGACGAGGCTGGCTTTTCCTAAAGCCGGCTTTCGTCTGGTACTTGGAGATTTAACAGAAAAGACCTTCTTTAACTTACATTTTTTTGACACAGGAACCGGTCGCTTTAGGTTTATTCTGGGATTTAAAAATTGTTTTGGTTAACACTTCAAACTCTAAGAGCATCTCCAATCACGTCCTCCAAATTTCATCATTCAAATTAGAATATTCTAATTTGGAGAGTTGCTCCAACCCACACCCTCCAAATATTATCTTTTTTATTTTTTTGTCAAAAAAACCATATAAATTAATAATGTTGGATATAGTTTACATTAATAATTTTTTTTAATAATTTATTTAGAAAAAAATTTATAACATTATAAAAGTGTCGATGAGAGCTTTAAAATAAACCCAATATTAATAATGCAATACAACATATTTAAAAAAATAAAATCTGAAATAATGATTTTAAATATTAGATTAATAATGATTTCAAATATTAGATTAATAATTTTTAACTATATTTATTTGAAATTAAATATCTAATTTAAATTACTAAGAATGATGACAAAGTGATAATTTTTAAGAAATTAAATAGTTAAGATTGACAAAGTTGTAATTAATGAAACATGAATAGTATTATGGAGAGACTCTCCAAATTTTCTCTTCACCCTCCAAATTTGGAGAGTGGTTAGAGAGGTTCCACTCTTCAATTTTGGAGATTTTTCCTTTTTAAAGGCCGGTTGGAGATGCTCTAAAGTTTTGTACGTACTTAGCTTAAACTATGTGACTAGAAGAAGGTAACTCATTTATTTGGTTGCCTGTGGTTGAATGATGATATAGGCACTGTTTGGCAACAAAAAAAAGTGTCTTATCTAAGAACTTGTGTCTTATTGACTTGGTCAATAAGCTAGTAGAGCTGTTTGGTGACAAAAAATAGGAGAATATTATTTTGGAGATTGTGTCTTTTGCAAGTAGCTTTTGGAAAGCTATCTCAAGTAGCGTTTGTCTTTGGGAAGGAGCTGCCAATTTTTTTCTTCCGTTTTTGCCCTTAATAATTCTAATTTTATATCAATAATATTGCATATCTTCTTTAGTCATTTAACAAATTTAAGCTAGTTGTACAGCTACTTTTGCCTAACAGCTCTAGTCAATCAGCTAGCTACACAGCTAACAGCTTTCAGCTACAATTTTATAGCTTTCAGCTAGCTTAACAGCTTTCAGCTATAATCTCGTAGCTTTCAGCTAGTTTTGCCAAACAGAGCCATAATCGATCCCTTGCTTTGGTTAATGGTTTTAGACTTTTAGGGTCTAAAATGCAATGTTGGAAGTGTTACTTTTTGGGACCCATAACTTGTTAGCAAAAAGAATAATTAAACACTTACAATGAATTTACAGTAAGCTTTTTAAGTACATGCGAAACTATTATAATTAAAACTGTCAATGCAATTGCAACGTAAGAAATATTTTAATGAGAAAATAGAAGGTCGTCCGTTTTTTTTTTTATATAAAAAAGCAAGGAAGCTAGAAGAAAGTTAAAAGATTTTAGAATTGCATGTGCATATCGGTTTCTCTCTATTAAGCCCCTCCCTTGTTCTCTAATGGGTAAAACTTGTTTCTCATTTTATTTAAATTAATAGGTTTTCTACTCTTTTTTATCAAGATTTATGCGAATGTACATGCAAACATCTTGTCACCTTTTGATATATTTTAAAATGGAGGGGTTTTTTTTTTTTGAAGAATTTTTCAAAACAGACCCATTCCCATTTTTTTTTAAAACCGACCCTTTTTATTTATTTATCAAAACCAACCCGATTTTATAATTAGCTACTTAATCACCTTCCTAAACAGTCGGGGTTGGCAACCCCGACTATTTAGGTTAATCACCTTCCTAAACAGTCGGGGTTGGCAACCCCGACTATTTAGGACATTAATTTTTAGGGTTTAATGCTTCTAATTAGGGTTTAGGTTGGCAACCCCGACTATTTAGGACATTAATTTTTAGGGTTTAATGCTTCTAATTAGGGTTTAACACCTTCCTAAATAGTCAGGGTTGGCAACCCCGACTGTTTAGAATGGTGATTAAGCTGCTAATTACAAAATCGGGTCGGTTTTGATAAAAAAATGGGTCGGTTTAAATAAAAAAAATTTGAAATGGGTCTGATTTGAAATTTTGTTCTTTTTTTTTCTTCTCTCCCATATTCAGGGGGTGTTTGTTTCAAATCCTATAATTTTAGGATATGGATTTCACCATGGGATTTGAAATCCATAGATAAATTGTTATGGGTTGGTGTTTCTAAAACTTTGTTTGTTTCAATAATATTTTGGGATTTAGAATACTATAATTTGTAATATTTTTATTTGTTTCAAACTTTTTGGAATTTGAAATCATTAATTTGTCTAACACTTTTAAAATCCACCCCACATCCCACCCAACAAAGAGGATTTCACAAATCCTTAAATATAACACATTTTTATTATTTGAGGATTTGATATTCTAAAATTTGTTTTGAAACAAACAAGTTTTATGGAATTCTAAAACCAAAAAAACCCTTTTTTGATCCTAGAATTTGAAATCCCACCCAAACGCCAAAATTTTTTTTTGAAACAAACACCCCCTTATTGTTTATTGTGATGTTTATACTGATCTGTTGATGTATTTATGTGTTAACATTCGATATACAAGCTCAAAAAGTTGATCTAGGAATGTGGAGATATCTGTTCCCATTGGAGGGGGATGGGTGGGGGCTTTGGACATTTTCAAATGGTTTTTTAATTTTAAAAACCTTTACAAATCACAGTAAAAACCAGGTAAAGGACAAATAGGTGGAGCCCAGGTGGTCCGAAATGTAAAAAAGACACAATCGCATTACTTTCCATAAACAACCCTCCATAAATAAACAAGTAACAAATAAGAACGATTTATCCTCTCCTCAACAAAACCACTGATACTCCTCCTCAAGCTTCGACATCTCCCTCCTCCTCTCTCTCTCTCTCTCTCTAAGAATATAATATTATTATAATCGTCGTCGTCATCGAAAGCTAGGGTTCTGGTCACCGGAGTAAACCCTAGACTATGTCTTACCACATCGACCCCAACAACCTCCAAATCCCCAGCTTCGGCGACCCCCATTTATCCGCCGCCGGCGACCAGCACCACTTCATCTCCGACCACCTCAATTCCCACCCGTCCACCTCCGCGCGCGCCGCGACTCGCCCCAACCCCACGTGGCCTCAACAGCGCATCCTTCCGGCAGCAGGCCGCGCGCCGCCTCCACCGCAGCTTCCTCCACCTGCAGACAAACCTCGCGACGAGGTCAACGTCTCCGCGCGAGTCCATGATGGCTCTCCGCCGCCGCCGCCGCCGCCGCAGCGGAGACGGGGGGAGGTGACGTGGCAGAGCGAGAGGCAGAAGGCGGAGATCCTGGCGCACCCGCTGTACGAGCAGCTGCTGTCTGCGCACGTGCGCGTTGCTGAGGATCGCCACGCGGTGGATCAGCTTGCCGAGGATCGACGCCCAGCTGGCGCAGAGTCAGCACGTGGTGGCCAAGTACTCGGTGCTCGGGAATCATCACCAGATCAACGCTGGCGATGATAAGGAGCTCGACCAGTTCATGGTTAGGGTTTGAAGTTAATTTCCCCAAATTTTTTTTCCTTTCTTGATATTTTCCGAGGATTTTGAATTTAGGCCAGTTGAGTTGTTTCTTGCTGATAACTCGCTAGTTTCTACTGGCAATTTCGTAATTCTAACTTGAATTCGGGGATTAATTCCCAGAAATTTCGCGTTTCACATTTCCTTTTTGTCAATTACGTGGTTTTTGTCGATAGTTGGCTGGTTTCTACTGATTACTTGATGATAATGATGTAAATTTATTTTAATTCTTTTTTGTGACAATTGAACTTTTAAACAAACTTTGAAGAAGTTCTGTTTAGTTAATTCAAATTTCAAACAGAGCTGATTTTTTTAACTTAATTTAATTACAAGAAAGGTAAAAGTTCGATGATAGGGCGTTCACTGTGTTTGCTGACTGGTCTCTGCAGCAATTTTCATTTTATTTACATCAAGTAAATTCGGAAGTAATTTGCCCAAAATTTTGCTTTTTCTTGGTGTCTTATAAAGCGTTTAATTTACATCAATTAAATGATTTTTTTGCTGTTAATTTGTTATTTTTATAGATTAATAATTCGTTAGTCTTGGTTAGGTAATTCCTTAATCTTGCCGTTTTCCCTCCATTATTGGTTGACTTAGAACTCAAGTTTGAAATTAGTTCCCCCGAAATTTCATGTAATTTTTGGTGTATTGGAAAGGTATAATTTGCATCAATTCTATTCAGACTCGTCTTCTCTTTGGTTGTTATTTAATATCTGTTGATTTTCTGCGTGATTTTGTAATTCTTTCATCCTTTTTTTAAGCTACTCTCTGCAAAGAGGAAATTGTTAATTCTTTCATGTTTTTAGAATCAAGCCTTTATTTACATGAATATGCTCTGTTTTGGTTAATACAAGCAAAACTGATATTTTTTTAATTTAATCAAATAAATTTTTTGATTATAAAGCATTCACTGTGTTTGCTGACAGCTCTCTGCGACATTTTTCACATGCACTTTTTAATCGTGTTGGAGTACTGTATAAGTAAAGGTCAATTGGCATGTTTCAAGCTTTGTAGTGACATCATCTGTATCGTTTCAAGTTGCAGAAACTTTAAGCAAACTTCTCTTGCTGCAACTGCAAATGACCTTTGATTATATGTTGAAGCAGGAAAAAAAGTTAATATTAAAAAAATAAAAATTAGAAATTTGCTTTTGTGTCTTCTCTCTAGGGTTCATAGATAATTTGCTTGATGCAATCAAATGGCACATATTTATTCTTGATATATAATAATTTCTATAAATACAAAGGTTAAAAAAAAAAGCTTATGTATTGACATTTTCTGTTTTTGATTTCATGGGTTCCTCTATATGTTTGATTCTAACAGGAGAATAAACTCTATGATAAATGCTTGGTAATGGGATATCAAAGATATACCCTCTCTGATATCACATTAGATTATCATATAGAGAACACTCTCTTCTTGCCCCATTCATTTCGAGTCGTTTTTCAGTCGCTTAAAAAATTCTAGAAAATAAAGGCTCATGTAAATTCCATTTTATTGTTTTTGCTCAGACCCACTATGTCTTGTTACTGTGTTCCTTCAAAGAACAACTACAACAGCATGTTCGTGTTCATGCAATGGAAGCAGTGATGGCATGCTGGGAGCTTGAACAATCTCTGCAAAGCCTGACAGGTGATTTTCACTCTTTCATTGAAAAGCTAAATAAGTAAATAGTTTTTTGATAGTTGGAAAAGTGTTCTACGCAAAAGGATTTTTTTCAAATTGTACTATTAGTGATGTTAGTACTGGTCATCAAGGTTTTGTATCAGGTGCTGTGCATATTTTTGATTGGCTATGAATGCGTCATCACCTTATCAATGGCTGACATAAGATGTGAGCTTCTTGTAATACATACTCATCCTTTTGTGGAGCTTGTACGATGTTGTTTCGTGCTCGATAGAGAGACCCGTTTTGTGGGAAAAGTATTGCTTACGAGGATGTTGAGTCAATACTTTCGGCAATAATTGTTTTTATCTGGCTACGCTGTTCTAGTCTTATCTAACCTTAAAAGCACTAGGATGCATGACTTGCTTATATAATATGTTCCTCTTAGCAGCAGTTATTTCTCCATTCTATATATGTATTATGGAGTCCATATTTTTCCTTTTGGCATGACATCATGATATTGTCTTTGGAGCATGCATGCTAGGAAATGATGATATAGGAGATTCATGTTAGGAATATAAGTTTCTTTCCTTTCTTTCAACTAACATTGTTCAACTCAAGTTTTGATATTTTGACCCATGCGGTTGTATAAATAAACTACTGGAGATCTTTTGGAATCTCACAACATTTTCCCAAAATTATCAAAAAACGTAACAGTAGCATACTGAAGGACTTGGTTTATAGAATATACTACTCCTGGAAATAGTTATTGTTATATTTTATATATTTATGTAACTCTTAGCTTTATTTTTGACAGAATATCATAATTATCATCTTTGGAGTGCATTCTACTAGGTGATGTGGGAAGGTTCATTTAGGAGTATTATTATTTTAGAAACTCTATTTTTCCTTCAGATACACAATTTTTAATTCTAGGAAGTGCAGAAAAGTTTTTGCATATCGTGATAGCTTTTCTTGTTTGGAACTAAACTTATTTCGTCTTTCTTCAGAAGAGTTTGTCTCATCATTACATTGATTGGGAAATTTAAATTACTTTTACGTTTGCAGTATATTTTGTCCTTTAATTTTATTAGCTCCTTCAAGTTTTAAGCATGTGTATACTTTCCGTTAGCCTTATTGTCTCCTTCAAGTTTTAGGCTTTTGTTGATATTATTTTCCTTAAGCACCAGTTGCTTTAGCTTTCTTAAGTTAATAACCAAGTCTTGATGCATTAAACAGAGTCTGACTCTTGAGTGGGTGGTTCTTTGGAAGAGAAAATGTAACCAAGTCTTGATGCATTAAACAGAGTCTGACTCTTGAGTGGGTGGTTCTTTGGAAGAGAAAATGAAATATTTCCTCTTGTTTAATAAAAATAGAGTCTGACTCTTGAGTGGGTGGTTCTTTGGAAGAGAAAATGAAATATTTCCTCTTGTTTAATAAAAAATCTATCACCAAGATGTCGATGTGTACAACTAATGCTTTCAGATTTGAATATTTCCAATATGGCTCATGCTTTCTATAGGAAATATACGGCCATATGAGGAACTTCTCATTGCAAGAAAAAGGTCTCATCTGAGAGAAACCCTTGCCAATCATTTACTATAAGATATAATGCTTTGCTCATTCTATTAACAAAGCTTGAACTTCTATATACTACTAAGATTGGTTTAAGTGAGTGTGCTTCTGTATTTCTGAGGAGCTTGCTGTTATGAATTATGATCATCTTTTTGCTTATTAAGACAGTGCTTCCCTCAAGTCTTTTATTTTTTGATGGTAAATGAATTAAATAATGATAATGATAAACTGTTATATCCACTATGTCCTCAACTGTAACCTATATTTTGATTTTAAATAACTCTTTATCACATCCCACCTTATGAACTTCTCCATTTTGATTCCATATACATCAATTTTCTTCTTATTTACACTCTTACAGAGGTGCACTTGCTAAATTTATCTGTAGAAATTTGTTTCATTGAAATGTTAAGCATTCTTTAATATATTTGCTGGATGACTGTACATACAAAATTTTGATTAGTAAATCATTCATCTGGGAAGCGGCGTAAGAGATTGTTTTGTGGCAAATCCCCTGATGACCTGAGAGCCTTTGCCATGAAAATGTCACCGACATTTAAGGATGATATCATCTTGAGTGCAAGGCCTTGCCCAATCTTGACATAGGGTGTTCTTAAGTCTTCTTTGTTGGCTTGACCAGGCCTTGGCTAAATTTTTTTTTTTTTGAGAACTATACTTCATTATCACATGATAATAAATATCAAAATTGTAATAAGTTCATTGTCCCTTTTATTCCCTGTAGAATTTCCAGTCAAAATTTAGTTGATTTGATCTGGCATTGGAAACTTGTTCCTACCTGGACTTAAGTAGCGAGATAAAGCTGGATTCTTTCACATATTGTTTTCCATCGGTAGTTCGTCTCTTTTTAAAACCTTCAAGTGTTCAACAGGTGTTTCTCCTGGAGAAGGCACGGGTGCAACTATGTCTGATGATGATGATGACCAAGCTGATAGCGAAACAAACTTCTATGATGGAGGCTTCGATGGACCAGACAACATGGGATTTGGCCCCTTGGTTCCAACTGAGAGTGAGCGGTCCCTAATGGAACGAGTCAGGCAGGAGCTTAAGCATGAGTTAAAGCAGGTAAAGATACAAACGATTCTAGTTTCAACATTTTTTGTTTTGTTTTTGTTGCATTAATGCGAGAGATTGCTTCTAATTTTGTGAAACCGTTGACTTTTTTAGGGTTATAAAGAGAAGATTGTGGACATCAGGGAAGAGATCCTACGCAAGAGACGAGCTGGGAAATTGCCTGGAGATACTACTTCTACTTTGAAGGCTTGGTGGCAGTCGCACTCAAAGTGGCCTTACCCAACGGTCAGCTATTTTTTATTTACCATTTGTACTATATATGTTTAGGTTTATGCTGCTTTAATACTCCATATGGTGGCTATTTGTTCTTGACTTAAAAATTAACCGGTTGCTACCTCAGTGGTAAAGAGATGAGGTTAGTGATAGCTCAACCCGGGTCTCATGTTCAAGACTGGACCGTGACCTTTTTTGTTTCAACAAAAAGAAAAGAGTCTATAATCTGGAGACTTGATCCAGATGCTGATATGGTTATATGTTAGGGATCTATGCCAAGGGAAATTTAGCTTGAGACCATACCCAAATGAATTCAAATCTGTCACTGAGAAGCATGCTTTTAGAGCTTTTGCTTAAAGCATATTGCTTATCAACTTTGTTGAAGTAATTTCATATAAGAATCTGTTATTAATGGATCTAAGATCGAAGATGTAAAGGATGGATCTATGATCAAAGATGTGAAGGGTCAACAGAGACTGACAGATTTTACCATCAAAACTTGGGGAGATACTTTGCAAGTCTATAAAAGAGCCACATTAAGGAATACGTTCATCCTTCAGCGAATTGTTACCAAGAGTTTCAACTTTCAAATTGGATAGATTTACGTCATGCTATCTGAATCTGACTAATACCATATCGATTAAAATATTTTTAAAAAAAATATATCATCTCTGGTTCAACCGTTAAAGATCAATTAATGGTTTGCAGTTTAAGCTTGCCTTATTCCCTTATTAGCGTCTCAAATTAATCACGCACTGGTTTGCGCAGGAGGATGACAAGGCCCGATTGGTCCAAGAAACAGGATTGCAACTAAAACAAATCAACAACTGGTTCATTAACCAAAGGAAAAGAAATTGGCACAGCAACCCTTCATCATCAACAGCACTAAAGAGCAAGAGGAAAAGGTAAACCAAACTTGTATGTTAGCCCAGAGCTTCTCTTTCAATTGAAGCCCTAACAAGAATCAATGCAGGTAAAACCAAATCGCAAAGCTCCCTGTAGGTGTGATGGTTGCCGACGCAATGGAGGCTTAAAAGAAGCGGACAGTTTGAGTAAAAGCAGGAAGCATCGCAACGAAGATCTAAACAAGGTTACATTGTTTACAAGCAAAGTTTCCGCAGCCCTTGCTTTCTGAAAGTTTGTCATAGGTAAGTAGAGGCAGATGTACACGATGTTAGTTTTAGTAGTAGCGTTACATAGTTTTGCGCCCTTTACAGTAAAAATGTATAAGATTATGCTACCCCCATACGGTTTTATGTTTGTATGTTGCTCCTATACGTATCGTTGAATAAGAAGGCACGTGTGGTTTTTACACGTAATATTTCTTGCGGCATGGTGCTGTGGCTATCCGCTTGTGGACCTTGAGTTCATATTGTTGTGCTGTAAAAGCTAATTGTATATGAAGTTTTATTAGCGTAATGGAAAATGCTCTTTTGGGGGCAAGTCTTTTTTTTTCAGATATATTTTTTATCAACGATGTTGTAAGTAGAAATGTAGATTGATGATGAAGTGGTAAACAGCGTGCAAGTAATGTTAGGATCCAAGCAACTTGGGGAACCCACCCTTAAAAGCTAGCTGTTAAGGGGGAAGAACCAAGTCACTTAAATACCTCATCAAGCTTCCCATTTTACTCGATGTGGGACTTAGGCATCTCATTCTACCCGAGTCCCTAACATAGCACCGCCCCTGAGAGTAGACGTCCCGGCGGCTGCACTCTATGACGCTTCACTCGGCGTTGCTTTACTCGGCCTTTTCGGTCAGCCCTTTCCGTGACGCCGACAACCAGCTCTGATACAAATTGTTAGGATCAAAGCAACTTGGGGAACCCACCCTTAAAAACTAGTTGTTAAGGGGGAAGAACCAAGTTACTTAAATACCCATCAAGCTTTCCACCATTTTACTCGATGTGGGATTTATTCATCCCATACTACCCAAGTCCCTAACAAGTAAGGTGCTCACCGCCGAAGAGAACTAATTCCTCCTCTCTGTTACTTCCTATAATTCTCTAGCTTTTCACGCGTGTTTGATGTCTAGGTTTTGACAGAAAATTCAAATTATTCCGACTCGGTTCTGAAGGATCCCCCCTCGCTTTGGATTCTTGTGCTGTGCTGTCACCAGACTAATCGGGTTCATTCTGCACAGCAAATTTCGGAGACACAGAGAGAATAATAATTTAAATCTGCCAAGGATCAGAGTCAAGACTTCAAATATTCATCTCAGTTTGTTAGTTGGACAATAATCATAGTAGGAAGTAACAAACTTGCAATTACAAATTTAAAGGATCAAAAGTTCAATCATGGTTTGAGAAAAACCAACAGCACAGATCAAAGAGACCAAACAATCTAGCAGCTTAGGTAAAATGTCACAAGCGCAAAAATGACAGCAATCTGATAGTAGTTACCTTCAACATTGCAAGTTTCAGTTGAATTCCGTGCAATTGCATTCCATTCCAACAGCAACAACAAAAAGAAAAGACGTCTGCTTACAGTCGACCATAACTCTTAATATTACTACAATAACGAGTATAACGAACAAACAGGCTCGCAATATTTGAAGTTCAATTGAATCAAACAAATAAAAGAACCACTGATAAGCGTCTTTAACAAACAAGGACACTCCCTAGACAAAAAATTAAACAACGTTCAACGAATTATATTCACAAGTGATGATTCACTCTTTACATTCTTCTATGAAGGGTCACCACCAGAATCTTAGTTCTAGAAGGCACAGGAAAGGTCAAGAGCACCCTAATAATAAGTAGTTATAATCATTTTTCCATCTGTACTTGCAAAATTGGGTGGGTGATGCTTTGGGTTTTTTTTTATCAGTTTTGAGGAAGAGATGCTGCTATAGAACGCAACCTGCTAGCAATCTCCGTGAAGTTGGGCCTCTCAGCTGGCTCAGCTGACCAGCATTGCTCCATCAAGGATCTCCACTCGGGATCACAAGATTCAGGAACTGGAGGCCGAAGGGTATTGCTCACAATCCCACCTGTAACAAGACAATAAAACAAAGATAGAAAATGTAAATGACTGATGAAAGACTATGGCTTATCTTCTTGCTGCTCTAATAAACAAAGTGGAAGTAATTATTGAATGCAAGCTGATTTAACAAACTCTCTCTCTTGTTATACTGCTGGAGTGACTTTCTATTTCTTTTGGGTTCTTGACTTCTCGTATTTAAAGTACGCGTACTCGCAAAACTAACACCCCCCCCCCCCAAAAAAAAAAAAAAAAAAAAAATCTCAGTACTTGTAAAACTACCCCCAAGTCAACAAATCATAATAACTGTGGTGGATCTGGGGTAAAAAAATTGAATATTTTTACGTTTCAGTTACAAATTACCTAATCAAAGTTGATGTTTTGTCGATTTTGAGGGTATTTTTCCCCCTCCAAAGTTGATGATTTGGGGGGTAGATTTGCAAATAATGAGATCTAGAGGACAGTTTTCCAAATACGCATGATGTAAGGGGTACATATATGAACGTTGAGAAAAACTCCAATACCAGTGAAGTGAAGATAGGAGTTTCGACGAGAATGCATACCTATTATGGCTCCATAGTGCAAGTCAGCATAAGGTTCCTCTCCAGTGAGAAGCTCCCACATCACAATGCCAAAAGAGAATACATCAACCTAAAATCATAAAATGAAGCATAAGGAATAAATTAATAACCGAATATTTCTTAGCTACCTATGAAGAGAGCAAGAAAAAAATTGCTGGAGGGAGGAAAAGGAGCAAACCTTGTCTGATACTAGAGTACTGCCACCATCTAGAAGCTCTGGAGCCATCCAGGGAAGTGTTCCTCGCACACCGCCAGAAATTAGAGTTTGGCACTTTACTTTGGAAAGGCCAAGATCAGCAACCTGCAGGCCCCAGAAGAAGATAGGTCTTATGTTTCCCATAAGTATTCTGAAGTATTAAAAAGCTTTAGTATTTGCACATAATTGAATTGTGCAGCTGTGTGCCTTTGTTGCATGCATTAGGTCGAAAAATACAAAAAATCGATGCAGCAAGGATAGCAAGAACTAAAACAGTTACAGATGCTCCTCAATTCTTTTGTCATTGGAGAAGATAACGAACAGAACTTTTTTGCAACAAGGAGAGATGTCCTATTTTCCTCTAACTTACCAGATTTCTTACGTCCTTGCAATTTATTATTACCTACCTTATAAACAGTCAACTATAATAAGTAACAGAACAAAATTTTCCTGAACAAAGAAGGCCATTTAAACAAAGCAGTCTCTATCTCACGCAATATCAGTAAAAGATAAATATGCCTAAGAGGTTTTGTTCTTCCTCATATGCGGGAATTTGTGCAGCACAGGATAAAAAGTTTCTTCTGAATCAATGTAATACATGAAATGTAACATCTTCATAGTAGATCATGGTGTTAGCAGAGCATGGAATCTCACATACTTATAGAAGCATATGTTTTTGATGCATTATAAAAGCCTTGAATAAGCATAATTAGCAAACTTCCTGATTTTCAGATGGAAATTCTGGCTTTCACTATGTTCAGACTTCAGACTAAACATCAGACCTTGAAATTGGTTAGTATAGCTTAAGCTTTAAACATGCTATCAATCTTTTAATATTGTAAAGACTTAATCACACTTAAATACCCTATAGTTTGCCTAACTTTGTACTTACATAGCCTCACTTGTTTTCGGCAGCACTTATATACCCTAAAGTTTCTAAAACTCGCACTTAAACACCCTCAATTATGGAAACTTGATGGTATTTAAGTGCAAATTTTAAAAACTTTAGGGTATATAACTGCTACCATAAACAAGTGAGGGTATACCTTTAAAATTTTTAGGGTATATAGGTGCTGCCAAAAACAAGTGAGGGTATATAAATGCAATGCAGTTGAAGCTCGAAACTATAGGGTATTTAAGTGCAATTAAGCCTATTGTAAAGCTCCTTGATAAGCTAAGAAAATATTTTGTCCTACTGTCAACCAACTTTTCATGAAATAAATGGCAACTAAAACCTTGTTTACCAACGATGAAAATGAAAAATGAATCCTAAACTGAGAAAACAAGTTAAGAATTCAGAGTACACAGTAAATGACCAAAAGTAAATTAAAAAAAAATCCACGAGGACCATGAACATGACATCTGGAAACATAACTCACAGGATGCTCTTTCCATTGCTTGTGATAATTGCTTCTTAGATATTAAAGCACCCACTGACTTTTGGGGGAAAAAAGACTTTTTAGAAATTCACTAGTGTACAAGCTGTAGTTGAAGAAGTCAGATTTTCTGGCTTCTCTCACCACAAAAGTAGAAAACCCACCCATGTGATCTTTTTTCCCTCTCCCCTATTTTCTTGCTTGGCCTCTCGCACAATCTGAAATCTAGCTGAACTTTAAATTTTCTTTATCTAAGACTGCTGTAATGAACCTTATCTAGTCTTTGTCCTTCATACATCTATTCACCCGCACCCCTAACAAATTACTTTCAAAAAAGTTGATTTTTCTTGATGAGAACTTTAATATAGCACACAACGTTACTGCATAAAGATTCTCTTCTAAAACCATTTTTCAGTACCCAAAATGGTCCAACCTACAAGAAAAAGGAACACCTGACACCCCTATAAATTATAGTCTCTTAATAGCACTGCAGCTGGAACTTAGCAACAATATTATGATCCATGAAATATACCTTGCATATTGGACGTTGAGGATCTCTCAAGTTGACAAGCAAATTGTCACTTTTCAAGTCAAAGTGTATAATATTTCTACCATGCAAATACTCCATCCCAAATGCCACATCCATTGCAATTAGAAGGCGTTTTCGTTTATCAAGTGACCTGTAGACAACCAATAAACATAATTAGGTGTCTAACTGCTGTATACTCTTTCTTTGCATTAATAAAAGACAGGCTGCATGCAAAAGACAGCAGCTTGAAAAGCTTATCAATTTATCACAGAATCAATAATCACACATGATAGTCAAGAGAGGAGACAACTTGTCATTTTTCTGCAAAGCACGTCGAAGTGAACCGTTGACCATGAACTCAGTCACTGTTGCAAAAGAACCACCAGGTCCATCTAGAACAACACCATAAAAGGCCACAACATTTGGATGGTGCAGATCAGCAAGCTTACAAGCCTCATTCCAGAAATCAGCCCTCTGATGATGTCCATTAGCATACACATAAATAACAACGAAAATAAGCAATGGATGAGAAACACTTAAAATAAACACCAACCATGCGTTCTTCTTCTGATGGTTTCCCAGCAAAACATCTTTCATTAATCCTTTTTATTGCAACATCAGAACCCCTCCATTTCCCATGATACACTGTACCAAATGTTCCAGAACCCAATTCTCGCAGTTCTTCAAGATCTCCGTTCTTTATTATCTGAACAGAAGGAATGAACATGACTTGAGTGGTAAGAAAATAATTTAAACGTCGGACAATGTTGTCACAAAACTCTAGGTGCTAACCTGGAGGTGACCCATGTCATCTGTGAATGGGAAACCGAAGTTCATCTTATCTGCCTGTTTGCTCATGACGACCTAATTGCAACAAAGGTCAGTACAAAACGTCAATGTATAAAGGAGGGCTAGGCTGACATATACGGATATACCTCAGTTTTTGGATCAGGTACTGCTGTTACGCACTGTATGAGTGAATTGGTCTCAACAAATCCAGTTTCTCCATTGGGTAGAAGATCAGATTCCATTCTTTCAGGAGGGAAGATGAGAGGTGCAGAATGAAGAGAGGGCTGAATTACTGAAGCAATTACTTGATCTGCTAATCCTTGCACTTCTTGTTTATTATGATCCTCTCCTATATAAACAATAGAGCAAAATGAAAAAAAAGAAAAGGCTAAGCACCTTTTAGGTTCAAATTCTGTCAGAGGCACACTAAGTACAGTATTAAATGTGTGTTTGATCAGAACTAGACTCTTTTCAGTTAGCTGATGATACAGCCCATAAAGACGGGAAGATCATACTACCCACCTTTATGCAACCAAATTTAAACACCCATAGAATAAAAGTAAAATTATTACAATATTTCTTATTTACACAAAAAGTATAACAAAGTTAGTACTTCTGAATCACAAGATTGACGCAATCAATGAATGGTTCAGTAGAATCCAAACTCACAAATTTTTTACCGGTGATCTTGGTCAAGATCAGTAGGGTACAACATGCATGCACACGTGCGTGCTCGTGCACATGCACACACACAGAGTTAAAGAGAGATTAAGTCTCAATATAAAAAAAGGACTCACCCTGCACGAATTGGACAGGCTCCATGCGCAAGTCCTTGTTTGTGGGATTCTGTAGGTGGTGAAACCCACCTTCCTCTGCAAGCACAGCTTCATCCGAACCTTTGCTATTGACCAAATGACTTTCTGTGCAAGCATCCTTGGGGGCAACGAACTCTTTGCTAGGCACTTTGTTAATTCTTGGGGGCACCACCTCCATGTTCCCCACTATTTTTTGAGGATCCTGGTTGCAGAATAATGAGCCTGAGGGAATTGGTCCTTGAGACTGTTCTGCATGCCCATTACTGCCACCAGAAGTTGAATACTGACAGGAAGCGGTACCATTTGGAGGGGAAGCTACGTTGTTGGGCACATTATTAGGCTGGAACAAGGAACCCTCACTGTTCTGGTGTCCAATGCCCACCGTGTTAATGACATTGATATTGTTATAGGCAGGAGTAATGCTACAAGAGTACGATGGCATCAAATGTAACTGTTCATTCAGAACTTCTGGTCGACCCCTAATTTCCTGATTATAAGAAAACAATGGTCCGTGATTAGTCATCACAAGCCGTGCCTGGCTGGTCTCAGAAGGCTGCAGAGGCCGCAAGTGGGTAAAACCAAATGAGGAAGGTGGCATTTGACTGATTGGTCTAATAGAGCTTCCCTCTGGAACAATTCCAGCAGCAATAAATGAATTCCCAAGATATACTGCATTACCTCCAGCTTGTGATCTGAACGCTTGAGTGTTATCTGCAGTCACTGGGGGATGTGCAGGCTTTAAATCTATGGAGGGAGTTTGGAGCTGGTTTTTTGGTCCAGAAGAGTTCCCATCGGGACAAATCCCAGACATGATGTAAGAATTACCAAGAAACACGGCATTACCTCCAACTTGTGGTTTGAACGTATGATTGTTCTCTGCCATCGATGTGGAGTTCTCAGGCTTCAACAGTGGGACACAACGATTAACTGTGGCTGTTGCTCTGGAATGTTCTGTGATTGGTGAAGGTTCAAATGTACTCACATGGAGACTCTCCATCATCCCATTTATAGGTCTAACATTGTCGTGTGAAATTTCTGGGAGAGAAACTCTGCTTGGAGGTTCTGCTGCATTTATATTCCCATTCTTGAGTATGCTAGCATTTTGTTTAGTTCCATCATCTTGCTTAGACAGATTAGGAGGTGGTGCCACATTCTGTGACATTGACTGAAAAGGATCGGTAAAATGGGAATATGAAGGATCTGTAGCCCACACATATGATGCGTGTGTGCCGACAGGCAATCCAATCACAGCTGGCGCATTTGGATTAACTAGCAATCTCTCATGATCATGCGGCTGTGGTATCTTGGGAATTTGGGTGAATCCATAGGCCACAAATTGAGACGAAGTAGGCATGTTCTCAACCTTGGATTCCACCGTACTGTCTGCCAAGGCTCCACTACCTGCATTATGTGGGTGTGAAACCTTAGCAGAATCAGGAGCTTCTGCATTCGGATGCAATAACCTCTCTTGCTCATGGGGATGCAAGCCCTCCTGTGCGCACCCAATGGCTGCAAACTGCCTCCCTGTCTGTGGTGTCTCAGTCTTAGGATCACTGTCTGCCCCAGAGCCATTAACAACCCTGGGAGGAGCTTGCAGCCTATTTGGGTCAGCCCCTCCAACAATCCCTGTTGGGTGCAACCCCTTTGCATGATCTAGAGCCTCCATGTTTGGGTGAATTATCCTCTCATTCTCATGATGACGATAAAACTGACTAGCTGCAACAGTGCCTGTCTCAACTCTGTGCTCCACTGTGTTTTCTGGCCTGAGTGAAGCCAGCAGCCTTGTTGGGTCCTCAGAGTGATGGCTCTGGAGCACCGGCCTAGCATCATGAATGCCACTGCTTCCAGACCCATTCCCACTTCCATTCACATGATCATTTATTAGAGTATCAGAATGTGCATGTGGCAATGCCTTCTGACACATTTGACAGTCATTCAATCTCAACATCTGATGCGGATACTGGCGCAATGGGGGAGCATACATATTGGGGGGTTGCTGAATATGCGTAGGGTGCAATGGCGGCAACTGGCTCAAAGGTTGATGATAGAAACCCTTACTATTGTTATGGTTACTGCTACTGCTACTATTACCATTATTACTACCCTGATCAAATCTATACAAGTTCTCCTCCACAAAAGCCTCCACTTTACCCTGATTAGGCCTCAAATTCCCCTCAACGACACCCATTCGATCTCCGACAACTATCAAAGGTTCCATTTTACCCTGCACCGCGTTAAGATTACCCCCAATCGAAACCATCGAAGCGGCATTAACACAAACAGGATGACCATAATGCTGACCACCCGGAAAATTAACAACATTATAACTCGGGTTAAAAAACTGAACCTGCTGCGGCTCTGCTCTGTCATAAACCAGGGCTTCCTCCCTGCCAAATCCTAGCCTTGACAGATCTTGACTAGTCGAACCATAAGTAGGGGACGAGATCGAAGGCGACATACCTTCGCTCGAGCTAGCACTCACCAAGCTATCCTTCCTCTTAAGCCCGATCCCGTTCACGGCATCGATATAACTCTGTCCCGTATCCACCATCTCGCTCTCATCCGCCGCCGACGACAGAAAGACCCGCATCCTCGCGGATCCATCGGTCGCCATCTCGCTGATCCGATCGAACTCCTCCATCATGTTATCGAGATCCTCCTGCGACGAGATCGAGATTAGGGCATCGAGATCCTCGCCAGGGAGCTGGTACTTGACGGAAGAGATAGGGCCGTTGAGGACCTGGCTAAGCTTAGCGTAGAGGTCGCGATCGCGGCCGAATCGCGGAGAGATCTTGCCGCCAAAGCTGCAGAGGAGCTTGACGCGCTGGGGGTCCGACGCCATTGGAGAGAGAAGCTAGGGTTTTGGGGGGAGCGGGGGAGAAAACTAGGGTTTTATGAACAAAAGAATGAAAAATTTTTGACAAATGGGGAAATTGAGTTGGGGAGAGAGAGGGAAGAGGGGAGGAGGATTGGCGAGTGGGTGAGCGGGGGCCGGTCGCCGTCGATGTGGGATTATTAAGGTTAGATTAACGGAGGTTGTTTAGATTTTATTGGTGGATTTGGGGAGGGAAAAGTTGGGGATTTGGGGGGATTATTAAATTTTTAGTTTTAGAGGTTCAGGTGGGTTTGACTCGCATCGGTTTATAAAGAAAGGTGGAGGCGGTTTTGGGTTGAGACTGAATCCGACCCGAACTAGGATTGGGACTAATTTTAATTTATAGAAGGAAGAAAAAGGGTGTAAATTTTTTTTTAATTTAATATATTGCATAGGTATGTAAACTTTATTGAACGTCCGTATAAGAGGATGTGAGCCGGAAAAAAAAATTAGAATTACAATTCTTTTTTTTTTTTAGTAGTTCAAAATATTGTACTCTAACATAGAATGTTCTGATAAGATTTACGCTTCGCTCGCAAGTTTAGAGATCAAAAACTTATTTAGGAGCACTTGATCATCTAAAATTGCAATGCGTTGACTTTTGGACATAGACGATAAGATTTATGAGACCGTTCTAAAAGCTAGATAGACCGAAAGGCTAATCTGATAGCAAAATTTTTAATATAAGAGGAGAGAAAAGAAAAATCGCATTTATAGACGTCGTTATGAAATGCGATTAAATTGAAAAACATACGTTTCTCTAGCCCTAATTTAGTTTTGCTTTCTTTTAAGATGTTATTAAAAATCAGTTATTAGTTGTTGTTTTATAAAACCCGAAGACATTGGTCTTAAAAGAACGGATTTTTCTATAATGTGCTTTTAGGATACATGAGATTTGGGGTTTGAAGCATGAAAAGAGTCTGAAGTGTTGATTTTGGAGTTCTTTTGATTATGTAGAAGCCTAACATCAGCTGCATATCGTCAAAAGAGTCTGAAGTTGTAGATTTTTTTTTTTTTTTCATTTGAGGAGGGAAAAGAGAGAAAAGATTTTAAAAAAATTAGAAGGGTGAATTTTACAAAACCCCCAAAAACCATAAAGCCCAAAAAAAATCCCACGAACATTGTCTTTTCCACTAACCCCCAAAAGGACCCCCCGCCCCACCTCAAATCATACTCTTTTTAGAAGCACGAGTTTAGGAAGAATGTTCTATGATTAGTACTATCCTTTACTCTTTTGAATATTTTATTTAAATATTAATCTATCCTAATCATAAATATATATTATCCTAATCCCACATGAACAATCTATAGCACAACAATTTAAAAATTAAGATTAATAAAATAAATAAGAAAATAACAACAGCCTGTGAAGAATTTAAAATTTATAATTTAACACCATTAATGTCTAAAAAATTATAGAAACGCCCTTAAAAGTTCATATTACAAATAAGCACCCTAAAATTCTAAAATTTCAGAACTTGCAAATAATATAGATGAATTTAAGGGATTACTATGATGCACCTGAACATTTTTAACGTTTCAAAACTTAAAACAAAAAAAATATGAAATCATGAAATTAACATCAATATTTAAAGAATTTAAAATTTACAATTGACACCCTTAATATCTCAAAAATTATAGAAACATCTTCAAAAGTTTAAATTATAAAAAAATACCCTAAAATTCTAAAATTTTAAAACTTGTAAACGACATAGATGAATTTAAGGGATTCATCAGACACCTAAAATTTTAAAATTTTCCAAAACTAACCTTAAAGTTACAAAAATTATAAAAAACTCATTCAAAAATTAAAAATTGTAAAAAGGCTCTAAAATTTCAAAATTTATTACCAGTACACATCAAATATGAAAACTATAAGTAGACCGCTAAAATCTGACTTATCCAAAAAATAACCTAAAGTTTTAATAATTGTAAAAAAATTTAGAGTTTTAAAAAATATCCTCATATTTAAAAATTACCACCAACATATGAAACGTAGAAGTTACAACTACCAAACTTAAAAGTAAATTTTTATAAAAAATACTCCTAAAGTTTTAAAAAATACAAATCACACCCTCAAAGTTCAAAACCACAAAAAAGGGCTGAATTTCATAACTTGGCAAAGAAAAGCATAATTGTTTGGTATTCTTTCATTAAGATATACACATTTAATTTTCAATTTAGAGTTTACTATTCCTCTCTAGCACCTAATATGGTATAAGTTGATGTTGGTAAAAAAACAATAAGAATTGATTAAAAACGTCCGGTTAAGGAATACAAATTTGAAAAATATATGATAGCTTAAAAATTATCGTCACTATATAAATCAAAATAACTACCTATAATTTTGCTAAGAAGTTGGACCAACAAAAATGCATAAGTAACTTTAATTGATAGAAGATTAAATCCATAAAACTAATAAAAACTATAATATGGTATCTTAGCATTAATTGATTATAATTTAGAAACAATAATTCTTGATGTTAATAATATTTATAGGGTAAAAAAATATAAGAAATTACGTATGGAGAAACTATCTAAATGTTCAGAGATATCCTTCAAAAGAATCAAGTTATTTTCATTTTCAAAGGGAAAAGTGAAAGAAATAAATCAAAAAATCGGAAAACGTACGTCAATGAATCACTTGAACTAACATAACACAAGGCATATCTATCAAAGAAGCACCGATTGGGTTCTATTGTGGAATAATTTAACCACTTTATCCCAATTAAAAAAGAATTATCCATGAAAGGTATAAAAAAAATTAATAAGTATTCATAAATTTCATATTTTGTTCTTCAAATGCTAAAAATTTTAAATATTAATAGTATAATTTAAGGCATAATGCCAATGAAAAATGTATGTATTTAGTTCAAATCATTGTAAAAAATAATAGAGATAGAGCAAATGTAATATTATTGACATAATAGAAATTCTTATTGGATGTACATAAAAAAATTCATTGTAGAGAAAAAAAATAACTCTTAATATTATTTAAGTAACAAATTAGGAATACAAAAAAATTTATATGTATGAAATTAACATTGTAGAGAAAAATCAAAGTCTGTATTTCAAGAATATTGAATATTGGAAGTACATTTAACTTCTTGGTGAAGTTAAAAGAGAAGATAAAAGATTAACAAGCCCAGGAAAGATAACGACACAAGATATCCAACTCCAGCTTGATGTCACAATCGATGTAGATGATGAATGCACTACTCTAGAATTGCTTAGGAAAAAGATAAAGATGGAGTAGGTGATCTCAGCTCAATAAGAAAATAAGATAGAATAATAAAAGATAATATTTTTAAAATATATTATAGAATAGTTTAATTATTTTCAGTGAAATTAAGAATCTTTAGAAGGGATTTTCATGAACTTTTTTAGTATTTTTATATATTTTTGTGGATACTTTTGTCATACAAAAATATACTAGAGTTAGCATTAATCTTTAGTTTATAATTTCTTGTGAAGTCTTCAATGATTAGGAACAAACTTCATATTCTCTTTGGTATTATTTTAGCATACTTTTAATCAACCATCTTGTCTTATTGGTTTTAAATATTCACCTTTCTTATATAACACTATTTTAATATTTTTCACTTTTGTAATACTATACTTTCTCAAGTAAAATTTGGTTTTATTTCGCTCCAAATAATATAAAAATTCAAATTAGTTTCAAATTATACTTGTTTCTCATCAATTCGATTACCAACATGAAACTTTAAATTGGGTGTAGCTCATTCAAACAAACATCAAAAAAAATAAATAATCATAATGTTTAAGTTTAGAGACAAAATTAAACAAAAACTATTAATGTAGAACATAACAAACTTTAGTTAGAAAATAAGCCAAAAATGTTTAATCATAATATTTTCCCCTTCACAAATCCTTCGAACCTAAAAAAAGAGAAGCGGAGAGAATGAGCACTACAGAAAACAGTGAAAGAATAAAATTGAGCAAATAACAAGTCTTTTAAGTGACACATTCTGTTGGGGGCTCGTGGGAAAAGTTAAAAGTTTTGTGTGTACGTTGCGCGTGTTTGGGTTTTTTCTTTCTTTCTTTCTGTTGATAATAGTGTATTGTAGTGGGTTTTAGTCCCACATTGCTTGGGAGAACAAACCTCACACTCCTCTACTTGTATAAATATATGTGCACACTCAATATTCAATTCAAGGGAAATTTACCCAAGATTCTCTCTCTCTCTCTTACTTTGACATGGTATCAGAGCTAGGGCTATTTCCCTTTCAATAAAATTTTTAACGCTTTTGCGTTCTTTTGCCAAATCTTGGCCTTATTGCTTTGCAGCCGTTTAATGTTTTATTTTTTTATTTTTTTTTAATTATTTGGCGTTCATCTGCCAGATATTTTGGCCTTGTCGTTTTGCGGCCTCTTAACGCGTTTCGCGTTCTCGTTTAACCTTCGGGTTCTATTTTAAACCTTCGGGTTTCATTCTAACCTTCGGGTTCTATTTTAAACCTTCGGGTTCTATTTTAAACCTTCGGGTTTCATTCTAACCTTCGGGTTCTATTTTAAACCTTCGGGTTTCATTCTAACCTTCGGGTTCTATTTTAACGGCATTGTCGTTTCAAGACCGTCTCTCGGTCTCAAATTAACGGCATCGTCGTTTCAAGCCGTCTCTCGGCCTCAAACGAACGACATTAGTAACAGCATCTCGACATCTTAACGTCTCAAGATTGCTGTTATGGCTCCTTCAGAGAAGATTCCCAAACCACCTTTGCCCCTCAATGATCAAAGTGACTGGGCAGGGTGGTCCACCATTGTCACCAATGCCTTGCGTGGCGCTGGTTTGCTTGATCATCTCACCAGTACGGGACCAGTTCCACCGTCCATCAGCACTGTTGCTTCATCCAGTACTATTGCCTCTGGCAGTGGTGATGTCGATCTTCAGACTGCTCGTGCTCTCTATGTCAAGGAGAGTTCAGAGTGGCAATTGCAGGAATTTC